CTTCAACAGTTGTAGAACATAACCAATTCAATGCATTGAGCTGCCAAGGTCAAATCCTATCGACCGGTCTAGTTCAAGTACATTTTTATGATATGAGGATGTGTTTAAAATAGGAAAAAATTGAGTGGAGGTTAAAATTACAATTATCTTAGCAGTATATTGACACTGTTTTCTTGCTTAATACATTTTACAACCTGTGTGAAATTTAAAAATTCATTTCATCAAGCACTACCAAATATCTCACAAAAAATATTTGAAACTGGTAATGGTTGTCCTTGTGAATACAAATGACGAGGCCCAAATAAGTGTAAAACTGATTAGCAGGTCTAGGGCTTTGAGTATTTGCTTCTCGAAGGGTAATGCATCGAAATATGCATTTGTCCTCATAGCAAAACCATTCACGATAATACAAAAACATTGAAAATATCGCTTAAAATATACTAACTTTTAGCCCTTCATATTTGAGGAAGCTTTAGATGGCCTAATATAGGAATGGGCTGCAACGTGGTACCTAGCAATTGGGAAAATCTGCACGAAAATATTTTATTCTCTAGTCTTAAGCATCTCCTTCAAACACCTCTAATTATCGTATTTTGCCGAAAAAGGACTCATTATTACTACCATTTTACACGTAGAGCATCTCCCTCGCTGCTTGATATTAAGGTCTGATAATAGATATTACCTTAGTGTTGTTCTTGTGGTGTGCATTTCTAGGGGGTTAAGTAAGTATATTGAATATTTTTTAATGTTTTCACTTATGACTCGGCCTATACCTTAGTTGTAGGTATAGCACCATTTTAATAAACAAGATGTGTTAATAAGTCCTTGATCTTGTCAAATGTTGCGCTGTATTTTTGAGTAAATTTTACGAAGGAAACTCATGAATGACTTACCCACGGTTAATAATTTCCACGTGCATTACCTCCGAAGTTGTAGCCACCGAAGTTGCATAACAGGACTCGACCACAAATGTGGTATAGGTGACTGCAAGCAGAGCACAAATAAAAATGCCATTGTTTCACAAGTCATACTTGCCTCGAGCCCTACGAACTTTTCTGAATACACAAACAAGTAGGAATTTCACTAGTCAAAAAGAATGCCCTATAAATCCATTCTAGTACATTTCGGTCGAAGAGATGTCAGCTGCAAAATAAAGTAGCTAAGAATCTCATCATGGTAGAATCATACGGTCCATTATTAGTGAATGTATTGTAGTCTTACCAGCGCACCTTTCGTTAGACTAAAGGCCTTGTCATTCAACCTTAATTCCACTATCTTATTAATCATTCATTGTGGACACCTGAAAGACCAACTGGAGTACTTCAAGCCTTATTCACATCTACTCCTTTATTCTTAAGCGACAACATTGTGGAACAAATATCTAACTAAGCAAAATGGTGATTAGCTAAAGTAGATGGATGTTTCGCTAGAAACCAACCGGCTTGTTACTGATACATCCGAGATTTACCTTGGTGAGTTGCTTCATCACCAAACGAGATTTCCAACAGAATGTTATTTTTAGCAGCTTTAAAGATGGTAATTATATCATGGGGTTGCTGTTTTTACTCCGTTTTATTCCACTTTTGTCATTCTTCATAGTAAGGTGCGAAAAATTACGAAAGTTTGAATAAATTAATAGCGATTCCATTTGACCTGACTGCCATGTTTAAGCATAGTAAATCAATTTTAAAGTTTTCAAAATAGCAAAAAAATTTTCTCATCCTAACTGAAAACTGATTACGTGAATTGATAATCTTTCCTAAAAAATCAAGGTAGATTACAGTATAACATGCAGCAAAAATTAGCAAACTCACCTGTGGGGTCGAACAGTGTAGCTTTCAGTTGAATTGGTGAGGCAAGAAGGACACTCGAGACGGCTCTTTTAGTGGCAGAGAAAGCCTTGAAGGACAGGTCTAATGCTGCCGGTGTGGGACGCACATTGTCTAAATTCCATTGGTCTGACAGGCGTTGCGACCTTTAGGGGAAGATAACAATTGACTGTGAAAGTAATGGCGTCACACTAGGCATTTTTTAACGATGAGCTCTGAAATTAACAAAATCATCCTAGAATTTGTTTCTATCATTGTGTTTCATTATGATGATACGTTATCCTCAACAATTCAAGCCCGTTTCTCCGCACCATTTACTGACAAAAGTCTAGCAATTATAGCAAGTGAAATACCTCTCTATTAGCAAATGAAGGTGTGACCGTCTATCGCCAAGCCATCCACGCCTCACTCACATGTCCAAGGCATGCATCATGTCAGCACCAGAAAACAATGCCTGCTGTGAATGTGGCTGTGTGTAGTGCGCTGTGGACACAAGTGGTAGCTGGGGCTTCTTCAATTGCTGAATGTGTTCCCACTTAGTACAAGTTGAGTGTGTGCAAGAGCAAATCAGCTTCCTCACTTGTAGGAGCAGACAAGTGCATATAATGGGTTGGAAGAAGGTGCCTTTCCACTTCTTAACAGACGGCCCGAAACCGCATGCCTCACACCTTATATTTCACAAAATCATGCAACTGACGTGCAGAAGAGCTCGCATTGTACTTCGGGGGGAAGGGGGGGAGAGATGCAGGGAAATACTGTTGTAGCTTCATTCACCTCACTTCTCCTCTCATTGATCTAAGTAATGAGCACCTTTTCTTGACGTTGTCACGTGATGAACACATGCCAAACGGAGGACGTGGTGGTGAATAGAAGTGAGATGGGGAGAAAGTTGACTAGAATGTGGTTTTTTCTTAGATTTGAACCTGTTGTTTGTAGTTAGTCAATCGTACAGCAAGAAATTTGCATTTGGGCAAGGAACTGCGGTGTGGGTTTAGTTTTCGTAATTTCAGTGTTTGAGCCTTTAGTGTGGCTCTCTATAAAACTCCTCTTTTATTATTAACTAGCAGCCGACGCTCTTCCCTGAATTTTTTTAAAGATATTTATTGCTATTTTCTAATCTGTATTTAGAATTTCAAACCTATTTAACATGATGCACATTCTAAATCAAGTGCCTACTCTGCACAGACTTAAAATGCAGCCTACTAAAATGTGGGTATTTTACAGTTTATACCACTTTTAATGATGATAAGCATGATCTAGAACAATATGCTTGGAACCCAAAGATAATAATGCTGTTGTCTTAGTTTTATTTACAGTTCCAATAGTATTTACATCAGTTTGCACGTAGATAATTAAATGTATGACAACTTTTAGACCAAGTAATTTTTCGAAGTGGAAGTCTATGGCAACTTTGATTAAAAAGTAAATATTTGACACAGAATGAGTCCTGATTTTTGAATATCTAATATCCCTCCAACTAATTATGATATAATCCATGAATAAATGACTTGTTAAACGCAGCTGTTTTGTGTTTAAAATTAATAAAAGCAAAGCCCTAGCTCCGTTTTGGCTTATGGAAAAACCAAACTTCACATGTCATTGTTCTTCTTTTTTCTATTAAATGATTTTGACAGGTCCCATTGAAACCATATCAAAACAAAACGAAAATTTGTCATGATATCGTTTTCTCAATAGCACTGCTAGTTATAATAAGGGTAATAATAAGTGAACCAAAGGCAAGTGCTTTGCATGCCTTAACAGACTGTGCTTGGCCGACCGGCCAATTAGAAGAGGAAGATCATTTCCAAAACTATGTAAAATTAGGCCATTAGCCAGCCCCCTAATGCTTTTTAATGCATACAATTCTCTCATGGTTACGCTAAGATGCTTAGCATTGCGTTTACTTGTCTTTTTTGATAAAGTAATTTGGATAATCAACAAGGACAGGATAGTGGCCGATAAATATTAGAGGTAATAAAGGATAAGACATTTGTATAGATGATTTTTCTATGACCAAATAATGCCACAAACGGTTAGTGCAAATTAACTAATTAAGCACTCCAATATTGCTTTTTTTGTGACAATAGAGGATTTTAAGTATTAAAAGGGGATTAATTTTCTTTTACTAGGGGTATTATTCCAGGTAGTCGGAGAATTTCACACCGGCTCGTTTTAACTTGTAGGGGTCTGCAAGGAGCATACGACTGCGCCCATTCATGCACAAATTCAGCGGGGGTATGTGCCAGCCCATTGGTGCAGTGCTCTTCATTGCAATCTCTTTTTTCCTTCTAAGTTTGTATCCACCTTCACACTATTAAATGTTGACGGGGCTGAATCGAAGGGTATGAATTAGGCTTGTCTGCTTTATGTGGCGAGCTTGAATTGTTTCACAGCTGCAGAAGCCCATCGAGTAGCTTCTTGGAACGCTTGAAGAGGGTACAGCAACAAATCACAACTCTAAGAAATAGTTGAACTAGTAATTTTAATTCTTATAATGAATCTTTTGAAGATAGATGTATCACCCTTGCAAAGACTCTTTGTACTTGTTTATGAGGGATGCCTTACATCTGTGAAGAATAACTGGGTGATATCCAAGGCTCATTATATAAAGGCTATGACAGCAATTACTGGAATAGAAATTCAACTTTGGTCTAAATTTATAAATCAAAGAGGGTATCCAGCTCATACTGGTTTGGGAAAAGTCAGTGCAGAATTACATTTCATTATATGTGCATAGAAAATCTTGGTTTCTCTGTTTCGATTTTAGGCAACACTTAAGAATATTTTAAGCGAATTGTTTAGTTAAAAAGCTGGCGGAAAAAATTTAGATGTTCATCAGTCTGATGATACTTCTTTATCACTATATACTGCACACTATGGAATAGCCTATGGAGCCCATCAAATCTTGCATTCACCTATGGTTTCTCGAATCAAAATACATCGCGATGGTAGCGGTACGGCCACACATGCCGTTTGGACGCCTCCCATAACCAAAGCAACGAATTAGGTAGCACCAGACGAATAGCAGACTTCTGATGCGTGGCCGCCCTTGTTTTCGGTCACCTTTGTCTGTACTTAAGTTCTGTGTCCCAGACACGCTACTGGAGGGACAACAGCGACTGCGTCTGACATTGTAGAGACAATAATAATTCCCACCAATGCAAACAAGCCAATTTATTTCATTAATCTGTGGATGCTACCATAGTTGCATTAAGTTTTTTCTGAGTTTCTTGAATGCTAAAGATCCCGCTTGATTGATCTTGCTCACAATCTATGACAAAATCGTCCAAAGGTTTCAAATGGCATGGTCATTTAAGCTGTCAGGCTTAATTTGAAACCATATATTTTGGGTGCTAACAAAGTTAGATAATAAAATTGTATTGAATCAAATTATACACAGGTGTTTAAAAATTCAAAAGCTTGAAACGGCGATTTCTGCTAGATCCATAATGAAATCAACCAAAATTATGACTGAATATAAACCCAGCATTTCTCAAATAACCAGTAGTATTTCGAAGAAACATTAAATAATTAGAGGTATGTGGCTCGATTGAAAGTGAATTTATCGTTTTACTTAGGTAAGTGTTGAATAAATCTCAGCTCAATACATTAAGCCCGTTTAAATAGGTTAGAAACAACCATAGTTAGATACTTCAATTTGCCATCATTCAACTGAGACTCTGTTGATCAATCATCAAATGGAAAGGGTCCTTTGAAAGGTGACTTATGAAATGCAGCAACCAGCTCACCAACTCCCCTCCTGTTGACTAGGTGATGTCTGGCGCTCCTGAGAATTAATTCTTGGCGTGCTGGTTAAAGCACTCCCAGCCGTGGCGGTATTGGCAGCAGCAGCGGTGGTGGTGGTTGCGTTGGCGGTGGCGGCGGTTGGGATGACAGAGCAGCGCAGATCAAAGCGCATGTCAACACTGCTGCTCCACACGTGTGCATCCGTTCGCACCTCTAGGAGGCCTTTGATGCCAACTACAGTCTATGCGAAAAACGCGAAATGGAATTCAAGCGATAGACCACCTTTTTCAACTCAACTCTGAATTTAGTGTTAGGTTTGATACCGTATACTAGATCTTAAGCTCTCAAACTTATGGCCTCTTGTTGAAGCTATCTTCGACCAAAGTTGAGCATTTTTATTAGGCGTTTCCTTGCTGACGGCCAGGAATCCCAAAGTAACAACATTTATAAACGCCTGCAACGGTGCAATTTGTAGTTGTTGAGACATTGCACTAACACAGATTTCGCAAAACTGTTAACAACACTGTATAAATTAGAGCAAGAAGTAGGAAAATCTCACAGCAAGCAATCTTATTCCATTGCTAAAATCTACGTCGAGTACAGGGAACTCTGATACCACTGCTTGTGTCTTTCAACATTCACACCATCTGCAACAATTTAACCTCGGGTAACCAATAAAGCCGAATTCAAATATTCACTATAACCAATAGAGACTTGAGAGATGGATGCAACATTTTATATAATCATTTAAAGGGAGATCAATGTGTTGTTTTATCAGTATGGTAGGATTTAATTTGACCTCCACTCATTTCCTCCTATTTTAAACCCATCCTCATATCATAAAAAGTGCACGAACTGGACTGTTGGATGGCATCTGACCTTGTCGGCTTTATGCTCTGAGTCTGGTTTTGTTCTACAACTGTTAAAG